TTTGTTGTTTTCAGTGAGCAAAGACCTTAATTTTCCCCCATGTCATTCCCAGAAATGGTAAACTTCCCTTTCTAAAACAGTGCAATAGTAACTCTTGTCCTTCCTGTTGTTATCATTATTATAAACATTGCTGTACCTTAAAACTGCCAAATTTGCTCTTACGCAATTTTTTGCTATACAGAAACATACACACCCCACACAAACTGTATTAACCTTCATAGACTTTTAAATTTTCTCTGTTTTACTGAAAGAAACATAAAGCCTTGACTATGGAGCCATATGTGTGGGTTAAAACCGCAGCAAATATAAAAATAGCTGGATAAACACAATTTTAACCAGTTCTTAATAGCAAGCGATGGGAGCTATTCTGTTCTCTTTTAAATTTATAATGAGTATAGCTTGCCCACAGGATATGAGCTGCCTTCTTATTTTCATTCACTCGTATTCACATATACTCCCCTAAGAAAGATTGTAATTGAGGTCAGATTAGAGGCATGAAGTTCTCCTGGTGGTGTATACATAGTGCACAGGTTTGCAATAGCAACTGCTTTTTTTTCTTTTTTTTTTGCATCCTAATTTGTTACTTTATCCAGACAAAATTCCTGTAGTGAATTTTTTGTGGACCTTCTCATGAACATAAGACCCTACTATGCTTAGTAAATGACACTGACCGAATACTTCACACCACAACCAAAGCTTTCAATTTCATGTTTTAAAACTTGCTCACAAACCCCCCTTATTTTAGAGAATTAGCTCAGAGATATTTTTTTCCAAAGTGAAAGCTGAATGTGGTGTCTTTCCCACTGAAACCTGTTTGGTTTTTTTTTTTACCTCTCTAAGGATATTTGCTGTGCAGGATGTCTCAGGGTGCAAAAGGGTGGATTCATGCAGAAATATTTCTGAAGTCAGAAGCCTACGGTGGTGGGTAACTCCTGGGTTGTGTGCAGGGTATTGTGTAAGCGCTATTCCTCCATGTCTGTGCAAGGTCAATTGACGTAATTTGACTCATCAGTGGGGGTGGCTGGGACAACTTTGCCTGAATTGAGGAGTACAAGAAGTGCTCAGGTGATCTGTTCATGTATCCCAATGTCAGCAGACATAAGCCTTGGGAAATTAATTTGCTACACCGTCAGTGGCCTCTGCAAACTTTCAGTTGCATCCATAGGACTTGCAGTAGTAGTCACAGCTCTGAGTTGTACAGTAATCAATACAGATTTGATATTCAGCATTCATTAAATTTTAATTTGCTCTTCCTCTTCTGAATGTAGCCAGTAGCTTAGCCTCAAGAAGATGGCTGAGGAATAAGTAAATAAAACCAATATTCAGTATCTAGCACCCACATGAGCATGTGACCAACTGTGAAATACTTCAGATGTGAGAAAAGACCCGTCTTCTTTACAGGACTTGATTAAAACAGGGTATCAGGGTATCTCTTCTTTCTAGTGTAGTTACGGGTGACCTGGGACCATTGTTTTGAACTGGCTATAATGGGTCAGGTTGTCAACTGGTGCAAATGCCTGGGCCAATGCCACTGATTTGGTCCTTCACACAGAAAGAAATGTGGCCATCACTCAGTTTGGTATAGCAATTCCCTTAAGAGTACCCTTTAGCCTCTCCTTGCAATTTGGCCTTTTTGGATTGAGGGAGGCGTTCTTTTAGTCTGGTTCAGGTCAATAGTTTCTTGGAGGGAAAAGGTAAAAATTACGGTAGTTTTAAGAAACAAAAAGTTAGTTTGGCCATTGGATCTCTCTGTTTCTTTTGACCACATGTGCCTGCATGCCTCTGAGGCCTCAGACTATATATGGTCTTACTGACCACCTACACACCTGCTCCTGACTCTGCCATCTGTAGATCAAATGCAGAGATCTCAAATGCTCCCCTTTCCTCTAGGTATGCACTAGGTTGTGTCAATCTTTGTATAATTAAGATGGTGTCACCTGAGTAGCACAACCAATGCAAAAGGTTTAAAACTTGTATCACTGCCAGAAGATTCATCTCAGGGTGACAGAGAGCTTGTTTGTAGCTCTGACTACCTGTGGTGTTCATGGTGTTTGAATCCCCCTCAGAGCCCCGGTTGTTGTCCCTCTCAGGGTTTCCAGAGCCACCACCTTCAATGCTTGAATTAAAGGCCTTGATACAAGATCAACCAGATCCCTTCAGTTTGTTCAAAGAGGCTTTTTGCATTAGGCCTTTGATAAACTAACTGGGGAAAAAAAAAAATGGGCTGTGAGGGCTTGCACAGGGCTGTTCACAAAAGCAGCTGTAGGGCTGTTAAATATTTGGTTATCCCTGAAGAAAAGGTCTTTCCTGAGAAGAAGGATCTCCTGCCTCCCTCAGAACCACAGAGCAGAGCTTGCTGCCCAGGCACTGAGTTGTCTCCTCTCAGCAGCCCAAAGGATGGATCGAAGGATGGATCAAGATATCAAGGCCAGCAAGGTGGTGACGTTGCTGTGAATCCTGTGGGACTTGAAGGAGCTCTTGCTTCATCATTATGTCAGAGGACACAGCAGGAGATACTGCTGACCAGAGTACTAAGGAAATAGGACTGAGAGGCTGCAGAGACCTGTCCTTTAAAGCATCCCCAAACAAGGATCTCTCATCCATCCTTCAATATTTTTACAAAAGAAAGCCCCAGCACAAACATATCCAGTTTCAGGAAACGGCACTCCACCAAGACTAAGTGTTCCTGGAAGTGCCAGGGGACAGAACTGGATGTAGCCTCTGAGGTAGCTGCTCCTCATGGGAACTTAAACATGATGAGGAAGACAGGGCTGCAGACTGCTGTCTCCATACCCTAGCAGAGTTCAGCAGCAAAAGTATCAGGATTGGAAAGTGCTTCCAGCTCTTTCATCTAAGGCAAGCACTGACAACTCCCACACTATGAGAAGCCTCTTTTTTTTCTCTGCTTCATTGTGTTCAGACAGCTTGTGCTAGCTTGTTCAGAAGGTTATGTGCTAGCCTTCTCAGGTAGTGTAAAATGCCTTTCTTACTGTTGTGGGGTACTGTCTCCAGTAATCAGTACACATAAATGTTGTGTCTGCCAAACGTTAGCATCCCCTGTTAATGTTACTAACATGAATGTTACTGGCAGGGCTTGGTAATGTGTGACTTTGCCACATGTTTTCCAAATGTATTTCTCAGCACGTTTCAGGTGTAGGAGGCTCTGGCTGAATTTTCCACTGGCAGGGAAGCTTCCCGTCAGCGTTCACACTGACGCAGCTGGGTTGGGGAGGTGCCAGTAAGAAATGCTTCATCAAGCTCAGCACAGGCACTAAGTGGAACATGGTTTCTTTAATGGTGAAGGAAAAATTTGCTCCAGTTGTGCCAGATGCTGAGCTACACAGCTGTCAGACCTGTTCCTGTCTCCTGTTGTGACTAAGAGAGGTTAATTGCTCAGACAACCCAGCTGCACAACAGCAAACTGCCTCCATACCCAGAAACTGGTCCTGAAAGCTGCCCTGCTACAGGCCACTGTGTTCCAAGACCTAATGCAAAGGTTTTGACCTGAAAAATTTTTCTTACAGTACTCACTTCCGTGCCACACTTGTCAAGGAAATGCTGCATAACACATTCTCTCACGTTAGTGAGATGAAACTGGGACGTATTGACCAAGTAAACAATATATTTGCCAAAGAAAGCTGCACCAAAACTGGGAAAAAATACAAAAAAAGAAGAGCTAGCAAGTAAGAAACTGAAATACAGGGTCAGCATTAACGTTTAATGAGAGGAATGTTGAAGGGAAAACAGTTGGACTGAGTTTTGTCTCTGGTCAAGTTTCTGTGAGCTCTGGAGACACTGAGCAGAGAACCACTGGAATCCAGATTCACAAAACAGAGTAAAAACATTCCTGAGTTTCCTTTTTCTCTATCTCTTATGAGGCTTTTTCTGTCCTATTTGTTTGACCTACCAGAGGATTCGTGGTGTGCCTTGAGGATTTAGGGCAAGGCTTTTTTTTCTTGGCGTTCAGGGCATTTCTCCAGCTGTAGAGTTGAAACTTGTGCAGCTGCATTGAGCTGCACCACTGAAAGTCTGAAATGTGTTTTGAGAACTTGGAGAAGTTCAAGATTATCGATGAATACTACTGAAGAGCGATTTGTTCACACCTAAGAAATGGCACACAATTGTGGCTTGCGGGGACAGCAGAGCACACGCAAATCGATGCTGTCATTGGAGCAAGGTCTCTGTACGAGTCTGGGAAGCCTCAACAAAGGCTTTCTACATTCTGCTTTCTCGTATTTCCATTTTGCATTAGCAAATTATCATGGCAGTGTCATCCCACTTAGCCACCAGGCAGTTCAACAGGTGTGTGCAAGAAGTCCATGCCAGTATGTACCTAGCAATAGCGTATGGAGATAAATAGAGGACCAGTGTGGAAGAAGAACTTTTTTCATCTCTTCAGCAAAGCAACTGTTTGATTTCCATCGCAGAGGCCCCCAGCAGTCCATGAGGGACAGGGTTTGCATGTGTGACTTAGAAGATTTGTCTGAAGTGGCAAGTGACATTACTGGATGTGCTCACCAGCAGTTCGAGTGATATGAAAAGGAACACGTCTTTGCAAAATTTAACTGCCTAGAAGCATAAGGAGTGAATACTTACACTGACGTCTTCCAGAAACAGAGCCATCTGCATGATTTTTCCTGTTGCCACTGATCAGTTATTCCCAGAGGAAAAGGAGAGATTGAACAACTGCCTTATTTCAGAAGAAACAGGTGTTTTTTTCTTCAGTTCTACTAGTAGGCACTTTTTTTTTACTTTTTTTTATTCCCCAAAAGGAAACTTTTGCAACTTGGTGTCTGATTGAGGCCGCTGCCCACTGAAGCGGGATTTAAACTTGCTTCTTGGAACAACTTCTTCTTTACCTTTTCTTCTTTACCTCTTTACCTCATCCATTCTTGGAGCTGAATGCTGTTAGAGGATCATCTGACACCACATTATAACTTCTTGTTGCCTCTTGTCTTTTCCAGAGAGCACCAGCAAGATACCAGTATCAACAGAAGGGACAAAAACTTCTTCACGTAAGTTGAATTAACAGAGTCTTCCTATCTCTTTCTCTTCATTTCTTCTTGAAACTGCTTCTGCAGCTCTGAAACAGCTCCTTCTTAGCAGAGAACAATTCATCTACATCCAGCAGCTCAGTGTCTGAGTTTCACCTTGCATACTCAAGCTACTTCGGGGACTGAGAAATGAATGAAGAAGGGTAAATCATACTTTTTAATATCCCGGGGCTGTTTTGAGGAAGATAACTTGGCCTGCAGTTGTCAGGCTGCAGAAGCCCAAGTGAAAAAGTATTTGTGTTGTTAGGAACTGTATTTTTAAAAAGCACTTGCTGCTCCTGCATATCTTAGCAGCTGTCTATGAATTTGCAGACTGTATAGATGCATTGATGTGTCCTCAAGAAAGTCTGTTGCCTAGACTGCTCTGTTCCTCAGGGCTCTACATACAATTCCTGACAGCTCTGCAGGGTCTGTGAATGTAGACAGGTAACTCACTGACAGTAGTTTAGCGACTTTTGAAGCTGCCTTGGCATACCAGGATCCTTCTCCAGATGGTTTCCTTTCAGGCTGGTGGAATTTGCTTTCAGCGTCCTGCCTGCAGTTACGGATTGTGTACCTCCAGAGTTACTCCCAAAACTGACCCCAGTGAAAAGTTACTTTCATTATTTTAACTGGTAGAGTTACTTTATATAAGGCCACAATGCAAGCAGTTATCTCTACCACTGAGTTTGGCTGAGGGAGCTGTAGATAGACGTGTGTAAGCCAAGCAGCCCAAGGATTTACAAGATGCACATACCCTCCTTGGCAAAGAGGCTGGGGTCCTGCTAGCTTTTTTGGGAAAGCTATGTCTGGCAGAGACAGGTTTGAGTGTGAAATGACAGTGTTTGTAGGCTAGATCAAGGAAAACAGTGTGATTGCCAGATTTTGCATTTAGCATGCCTGCAGTCTTTCCTTTGATGCATCTGTGTGTGTGGCGACCTACTTCTGAAATTTTGGCACTGCTGCCTGACAGAAGAGACATTGGATGTGCCCGTATTCTTTCATGTTCTCAGTGGGGCCTGTCACTGGTGCTTCACTGGATATGTATGAGACCACATAGCTAATAGCGAGTGTCTTGTTACCATTGGAACCATTTTTGTTCAAAAAAGGTGACATGCTGGTCACTGACTCCACTGGCCTTGCCTTGCCTTCTCCCTTGTGCAGCAAGAATGCAGCCCCTGCACTTTGCTGCCCTCTTTCCCACGAACTAAAGTTCTTGTCCTTGAGTGGTCTCTTTCCCTGCTTATGCCCCTTCCAGTGCCTGCTGTTAAGTACTGTTCTCCTCTTTACTGCTGCCGTGCTGCTGGAGAGGAGGAAGCTGGGATGTTCAAGAGGCTGGCTGCATTCCTGATGAGTCGCTGCACTGGCAGATTTCATGCCAAGTGACACATCACACTGCTGTCCTGAAGGAGGGGAGAAAACAGTATGTTCACTGGCTGATTACTGAGGTCTTCTCCTGGGCCTCTGAGTAGGTCTTCAGTATGTGGCTGGGGCAGAAACCTGCTTAGTCCCAAACACAGCCAGGTGCTGTTCTTCCCGTTATTCTCTCCCAGCCCTGGGTCCAGACCAGGCCAGCTTTCTCTACTACTACATGACTTTCCTGCTGACTAATAGGGTCTGGGGTTTTGGGCACTGCTGATCTTTTTTTTTCCAGTCTTTACAAATGAAAATAAGTTATTAGTTTGTTTCTTCTTTAATTGAAGATAGACTGTTGTGAAATGCTGATGTTTAAATTGCCACCAGGGGCTCCTAGGAGCCCCTGGTGGTCTAGGGGTAAAGGCGCCGCGCTATCACCGCGGAGACCCGGGTTCGATTCCCGGTCAGGGCCACTCCCGGGCAGGTGGGGCTCGTTAGTCCTTAAAGGCAACCCACCTACGTCCTGAGGACCTCGCTGCCACCGTCCAAGCTCGCTTGGCCCCGGCAGATGAACCTTAGGATTAAAGGGTGGGCTCAGTTCCGCGCACACTGTGTCTCACCTAAAAAATCCAATGCGCAGGCTGGATGGTGGAAAGACCTTCCCCAGATCTTCGCTCGCGAAGACGGGCCATTATTATTATTATTATTATTATAAATTGCCAGGAGCTAGGTCTCTGGAAGTATTGCTTCAGTCTGAGTTTCTAAGATTGGTTTTACTCTGCCTAAAACCAGACTTGATCAGGCAACAGATTCCTCTTCTCTGCATGGCATGACAAGGTTTCACTGCAGAGCATGCAGTATGCCTGACCTGCTCCCTAGGATCCACAAGCTGGCTGTTAGCCACCTGTACTTCCTTCTTCCCTCACCACACTGGCAAAGCGCTCTCTCTTCAAACTCTTCCTTCCAGCTCACAGCACTTCTCAAGCCTACTCTTGAATTCTTTATTCATGCATGACACCAAATGACTTGCTAGACAGTGAAAGCCCATGCAGCCACCCAAGTGCATGGCTCTAATTTGCTGCGTGGTTCAGGTTCCTACACTTCATGAGGTTCAGGCTACCTGCTTCTTCTGTAAACTTTTCTGAGTGCTTTCTTTGTGTGATTTGTGTTGAGGTCTGTTTCCTTCAACTGTCCTAAAAGATTATTTACCATTTTGAGAGTGTTTCTTCTTTGTCTTTCTTTTGGGGCTCTTGCTGTCTCCCATTTCAGTCTGGAATGTGTTCTGCTCCCCCTTCCATCTGCAGCTCCTTGCAGAGGTGCTGACACTCATGGACCCTTCTCTCTTTCAAACCACAGAGGTCCTTAACCATAGTTGTGATAGATCTGAATGCCTGACTGCTCATTTGAAGTTATGTGAGAATATAGCAAGCTAGTGCTTCCTTGGTCAGCATGTGGAGCTTCAAGACCTACTGCTTTCCACTTTCCTCTGATGCTGTCACAAACAGCTGAAAATTTTACTCTCTCTTTGCCAGTTTTCTCCTGTCCTTCCCTCCCAGGACTATGGAGCATTTTTGCTGTAATTGATTTTTCACAGTGTGCCTAGGACATGCTGAACCAACTTTGAAGTTCTTTGCTTTCTCAAGCTATCTCATTTTTTTTCCTCTGCTTTGTTGGGTTTCTGACTACTGAGGGGGGGGAAAAAAATGAAAGAAAAAAAGAGAAAGCTCTACTGGGAGAAGATGTTTGGGCTCCTCCAGTAGAACACTGTAGCTGTGGCTGTATTCTTACAATTTTATTGTTACTTCTGTGTGTTACAGAACCCATACCTAGGATACAGTCTTCAACAGAAGGAACAAACACTTCCTCCTGTAAGTACATACAAGTTGTTTAAATTATTGCTGGCAAGACCCTCAAATACAGTTCTCACTTCCCAGCTCATTAAAAAAATGTGCTTCTATCTAAACCTGTATTAAGAGATCAAGAGTGACTGGGTGGGATTTCTACACTACAGGGGCAACTGTTATTTTTATATATTGTTAAAACTCTCAGAGACATGTTCTTCTTTGCGCATTGAGACCTAAACACCTTCTTTCAGAAGGGTCAAAATGTACGTTTGGGCAGGGCAAAGGAGGAGGAAACTTCTCAAGGCTTTCCTACCTGGAATTCCCTTCCCTGCCCTCCCCAGACAATGTATGGCTTCAAACAGTTTGCTCTGCCTCTGCCTCTGCCTCCATAGCCCCTGGCCCTGGGTTATCTGGAACACCCTCGGGTCCAGCCATCCTCAGCTCTGTGCCAGCTGGTGCATGTCAGAGTACCTTGGGCTCTTCGTCCTGTGCCCCACTGCCTATAGGAAGAAGATAAGGAAGGTGAAGACATCTTTGTGTGTGCCTTCACTCAGCTTAGACAGAGAACCAGAAATGGTTCCCCTTCCTGGGAAAGAGAGGTTGTGTCTCTGCTTATCTCGGGAGCACACTGGGAATTGCAGGGGTAACAGTGAGGAAAGTGTCTCTTTTCTTCCTTTGTAGTGATGCTTCCCAAGGAATCATGCATTATAGCCATAATCCTATACATTTTCACCCTTGAGAACCAGGAAGGAAGAGCCTTCCAGCTCTTTAGTAGAACCAATCTACCATATACCCAGCCAGCCTGGCTTTGAGCAGTCTGGAAGGTCATTTCACACAATGGGAGGTGCTGGGTTGTGAGAGGTAGGGTTTTGACCTTTCCCTAACACATTAAGTATTGCTGGCTGCTAGGAATAGGATGGCAGGTGAGATAGACCAGTGGTCCAAAATACCCTGATAGTTCCAATGATGCCGTAAAATATGGTGTGTACTCTATAGCAAACTATACAATAATGTTCTTAACTCAGATCTAATAGCTACTGTAACAGCACCAGGAAGAATGGTCAAAGCCATATCTCTGGTTTTTTTGTGGATTTTCTTCACAGCTATTAGGCTGATTAGTTTTAAGTGTGTGTTAAATTACAGAAATTTGATAGCTTATTTAAAAACTTTCTGCCAGCAAGGTGAGAGGAGCTAATTTTGACCTCTTTTTCCCTTTGATGCTTAGCAGCAGGGTAGGAAGGAATAATTCCTGAAGCAATTTAAAACAGTAATTTCTCTCTGTTCTGTTCTCATTAGCACTGATGTGTAGCGGGATTAGTACTATTCAAGTCACTAAAATAAGTAATGTAGGAGGGAGGGCAAAATTGGATATTGCTGCCTATTCTGGTTCGGAAAAGCAGGAGGGAGCCAATGTTTATTGCTAACAGATGTGAATGTCTCTCTACAGAGTAATGAGGGAATTGAGTCCCTGTAGTTACTCTAAAGTTCCTTAGGGCTTTTCTTTTCTGAATTTCAGTAGGACATGTCCATTTCACACTTGTCACTGTCAATCTTGTAACAGCCACAGGAGATAAAATAAACTGTTTCCTTCCACTTCTCAGACAATAGCAGATGTTTAGAGAACATGCCAGCACTGTCACTGTTGGCCAGACACTGGGAAAGACCTGGGAACAGCAGAGTGATTCAGTAGGCTGTCTTCCCCAGGGCTTTCACAAGAGAACAGACATGTGCCATGCTTTGCTGTTTTAGGAGTTCCAGTGACAGACAGATATTCAGAGATCT